TAGATTTCAGAAGTTTATATAACGTTTTACAATTTGCACGTATTTTCAATGAACAGCTTATTTTTGCAGTCGTCACATAATGGTTCTAAGCCGTTAAAACGGCGTGCAAATTTGTGCAAAGCGATTGAAAAGTTGGTAGATTTGCGTGTATATTTGAACTAAGTTGTTTTCATATCGAACCGTGAAGTTATAAAGTAGAAAAATTAATAGAATCCAAGTGAAAGCCCTCTATATTAGCAGACTGTCAAATGTTATGAAACGTTATGAAAAACACTTAAAATGTTGGTGAATTTGCATAAATATTTGCCCTCAGTCATTATCATATCGACCCCGCTGTTAACTTTAGAGAAAAAAAATAAGTTAATGATTTGGAAAAAGCCCCTTATGTTAGTAGTAGCAGATTGTACCACTATCAAAGAGTGAAATTATAAACAAACTGCATACAAATTTATAAAAAAGCGATTGCAAAGTTAGCAAATTTACATGGAAATGTGAAATATGCTGTTATATACTATCGAGATCCATCATTAAATATTCGCAAAAGTGCATAAATATGTCGTAAATAGCCGTATATTATCGTACTGTTTCCTAAAGTATGTAATGTCATGGGTCAACTGACGAGAGACACTAGTGGAAAGGTTAGCAATTTTATAAACATTTTTAAATATCAAATAGCCACCAATTCGAATAAAATGTATATGACTCTTCTAGCAGAGGGTTCTGGTGATTAGTCCCAAACAAAAGTTAAGATCAATCGATCGTGGTTAATACGTGCATGGGAGATAATCTGAGCATTTTTTTTTTCGTTTCATCAAACACAAGAAAATAACACAAAGCATTGTTTTGTGTTTTCTATATTACTATGATGTCAAACATTCATAGCAGAAAGTCGTCATTAGTATTTATATTTCTCAAATTTATAGAACGTTGTAAAATTTGCACGTGTTTTCAATGAACAACTAGTTTTTGCAATCACCACATATGATGGTTCTAAGCCGTTAAAATGGTATGCAAAGTTGTGCAAAGCGATTGAAAAGTTAGTACATTTGCGTGTATATTTGAAGTAAACTGTAACATGTTCAAAAACAGACTAAAGCGATATGAAAAGTATTATAAATGTTGATGGCTTTGCATAAATATTTGACATAAGTCATTGTCATGTCGATCCCGCAGTTAAATTTAGAAAAAAATAAGTTAATGTTTTAGAAAAAGTTCCTTATATTAGCAGATTATGCCACTATCAAAAAGTAAAATGATAAACAAACTGCTTACAAAGTTGTAAAAAGCGATTGCAAAGTTAACAAACGTACATGGAAATTAGAAATATGTTGTTATATTATCGAGACCCATCGTTAAAAGTTTGCAAAAGTAAATAAATATGTCGTAAATAGCCGTTGTATTATTGTACTGTTTCCTGAAGTATGTAAAGGTCAAAGGACAAAAGACACATGTGGAAATGATAACAATTTGAAAGCGATTCTAAACATTAAATGGCCCCAATTCGGATAAAATTCAAATGACTCTCATAGTAAAGTGGTCATATGATCGGTTCCCAACAAAAGTTAAGATCTAGTACTTGCAAGGGTAACAATCTGAGTAAACCAGCTGAAGATTTTTTTTTTGGTTTCGTATTTTTTATTATTATGATGTCACACATTTATAGCAGAAAATCGTGCTGATTATTTAGATTTCTGAAGTTTATAGAACGTTTTAAAATATGCAAGTATTTTCAATGAGCAACTATTTTTTGCATTCGCCACATATGATGGTTCTAAACTATTAAAGTGGCGTGCAAAGTTATGCAAAGCGACTGGAGAGTTGGTAGATTTGAACTAAGCTGTTGTCATATCTAACCGCGATGTTATAAAGTAGAAAAAAATAATAAAATCAAAGTGAAAGTCTCTAAGATAAATACTGAATGTTGAATAAAGTTATATTTGACTATTATATCTGAAGTGACCAAGTTATTTCTGTCCATTATCGTCCATTGTTATTAGGGGAGTGTGGAAAATAAACTTGTTTGGACACCTGGTGATAGCACTCCCAGAGTACCAATCTGCGTTCATGTTTTGACAGAAAAAGAGAATGATATTATGTAAAACCACAGTCCATGAAAGCACAAATAATAAGTACATTTCCGAGAAAATACCAATAGTGTTTCTTTTCATAGCAAATTATAACCGTTAACCCTGACTGTTAAGCCCAGGCTGTGAAGTCTAGACTACGAGTTGCTGATGTTTGAAGGCCAAGGAAAAGGGTGTATATTAAAAATCAGGATCAAGCTAGGGTACCCACCACCAACATTGACTCCCTTCTGAACATAGAACCTTCTGAATATCGGACCTTTCAACATAGAAGCTTCTGAACATCGGACCTTTGAACATAGAACCTACTGATCATCGGACCTTCTGAGCAACCGGAGTTAGGTTAACTGTAATTTGAAGTTTGAGTTACTAAATGTTCAACAAAAACAGAAATATGTGCTGTTCGTAACTCGAAGTTCCTTTAACTGTTAATCGAACATTGAGTTATAATTTTAAGCGTGGTTTTGCAAAAGTGAGCGTGTTTCTAAAATACGAGCGTGGTCATTTTTGTAACTCGAAGTCCGTAACTCGATGTCCGTAACTCGATGTCCGTAACTCGATCTCCGTAACTCGATCTCCGTAACTCGAACTATACACGTTTACTATTTATTGGTCTCGAAGTAGATACAAGAATTTACATGCAAAGACAAGAAATCAATTGTGTTACTATAAAACAGTAATACGTATTTCTGAGAGAAATACGAAAATAAGATTACAAGTATTGTTATGCTGGGCCGTGAGAAATAATTATTATTAACTTATTTGACAGGTAAAAACAATAAAAGCAAATACCCAATAAATTAGAAAATAAGAATATAATTTATTGTGAATTACCTCTTAATAAAGTATTCAATTATAAAACATTCAGTGTGAAATGAGAAAGATTTTGTTAAATACGTTACTCTATAACGCATGCGCATTCCGTAAGTTTCTGATGGACCGGAAGTGTTGTGGTCCCACCGCGTGCGCCCGCTTACGGTGGGAGTGGAATAAACTTTCTTCTTTACAAAGAACTCAGAAATCTTCAAATATCTTATAACAACATATATGAAACCAAACAAAATTGTTAGATATAGAACGAACTTTTTATCATAGGAACCATAAATAAATGACATATTTTTTCTGGGTTTTGTGAACAACATCATAAAATAAAACCATTATATTATTGTAGTTTTAATACATGATCTGTTAAAAACATCCATAGATAGCCAAAATAAATGAAAACATGGCTTCAGGAGGGGATGTGTTTATAGTTACCAATTGCCTTAATGCGATTCCTATTTCTGTGACACAATAGCTTGGCTTTATAACACAAGCATTTAGCTCCATGGTTCAGGGAAGTTTTGAATCACAGTAATATATCATGAATTTCTTTCTATTATTAGTGCATTCTCAACAACTGCAGTTGTTTTGTATTGCCATTCATGGTTTATTTTATGTAATAAATCATCAAAAAAGAATCGTTTTGTCATACATGGTTTATTTTATGTAGTAAATCACCAAAAAAGAATTGTTTCTTTTTTTATGTAATTTGTTTGTCATCACCACACCATACAGAAGCAGTGGATGCTGAAGCATTATTACTTAATCCAGAGTTGAGTAGATTTCCTTATTATATATGCGAAAAAAAGTCCATTTGATTCCTCAGGTTGCCAGATACAAAAAGATTCCCTCACAGGCTGCTCTAGGGTGACAAGCAGTACTGGAATATATTTGTATTCAATGGTTTATAAGTTCATACACAGTAAAAATCATACAAACAAAAACATCCTAATGATTAAGTGGAATTAACACTGGAGTTCAATCCTGTAAGAATAATTGTGGAAAGCAATGGTCTGGTAATCAAGACGCACTGTCAAATTAATAACCCTACCAAGGCCGTAGGAAGCAAAAATTAGTTGGTCCGGCCATCCATCGAGGGCCGTATGATGACGTGGGCCGAAGGGGGGACGTGCATAAGTGGTCCGGCCATAGCCTACATCGTGAGCATCAATGTGGTGAGATAAAGAAAATAAACTAATGAATCCATTTTTTTCCCATTTTATTATAATCCATTGAAATATTCTACAAAAATGATTTATGCTTATTCATACATATAGTATATTTCAACACTGATAACAAATAAACCATAAATTCCCTTTTTACCGCCATTAAAGGTGAATATAATAAATTAAAATAAAGTGATTTAAAACTTGTCAACTGTCATAAAAACTGGGTGAGGTTTCACAGGTGATATTGTCAGATGTTTTCATGAAATAACATTCAATGTGATGTAACTCCATTTTAATATGGCATGCATTGATTTCTTGATTCAATAATCTCTCATCTTTGAATGTGTGATTCACATGCCTGTTTGATTAAAGCAATTTAGTTTTCAAAACAATTTCTCTGGGTCTCCTGCGATGTATACAACAAGTGTCAAATACAAAGTTTCTTTATTCAAGATCTGAATGTGTTTTGCAAAGCAATTGTGGTATTTTTAATTTTCTGCTTTGTACTGCAAGTTCCAAACACAATTTCTGTTCTCAATAGAGCTCTAGCCAAATTCACATTTGTTACGACTGAAGATAATACTGTAAAATACTTTATTTTTGCTTGGATTTAATTTTCACTATTTTTTGCTAAAGGAATGATTCAGTGAAAATAAAATCCAGCGAATATACCTTTTTTCCTATATTTTGCATTCAACTTGTCAAAAAACAGAGAAAATAAATTCCAAACAAGACACCCAGAAATTATTTCAGCGAAAATTAATTCCAGCTAAAATAAAGTATTTTACAGGGTATAATTTTTTGAAATTTTTTCAACAATAATTACAATTTTTCATCCTGTGTAGTACCATATAAACCAGTGAAAAATGTCAATTTCAATCTCAAAATATTGTCTGTCAAATCCAATTTCTTTTTTTCCCCTATATTTGTATCCTGATGATATAAACCAATAATAATACTTGTATGACAAACATGATATATACTTTAATTGAACATTTTTAATCAAGATATGATGAAGAATTCCAATACATGTAACTGTATGATTGTCAACATACAGGTTGCGAACATCGTAGAATTGAAAAAGAAATTGCACATACACACACCTAAGACAATGTCATACTATTTTATCCACCTTAGTTGGGAAATTCCACCAGCATTAATGAACCTTTGCAACAAAATTACGATGTTCCCTAATCCCTCAATATTAGGCCAAACCAAATTCAGCTGTTTTTTTTCAAGTAATACTGCAAGAATAAAAAATAAATAAAATAAAGCAGCGTCACTATATCATTTCAGGACAAATAAATATTTTTTTTTTTAGCCTTACTATCATCACTACCCAGTATTTCTAATAAAGCATCACCTGCATTGAAGGACAACAGAATAGAATACTGTGGAATACTTTATTTTCGCTGGAATTAATTTTCGCTGAAAAGGCTTTTTGGGCGTTTTGTATGGAATTTATTTTCACTGATTTTTGATGAGTTTAATGTGAAATATAGGAAAAAAAGTATATTCGCTGGATTTTATTTTCACGGAATCATCCCTCCAGCGAAAATAGCGAAAATAAATTCCAAGCGAAAATAAAGTATTCTACAGTAGCAGCAATACTGACACACCAAAGCCTGCAAAATCTCATCCAGTAAACAATCATTCAAAACCAATTCACTTCATTGACTCGTGTAATCTGCACTAAATTTATGAGATAAATTAAGGAGAAAATCACATTAACAAATTTCAGTAGAATTTTTCAGTCACAGTGACCTTCTTGAAATTTAACGCTGTGAACACCGTCAAATTATTGTTAAATTGACCTTTTATTCCTAACTAAATCACAGCTCATCTTTTCCACCAGGTTTTGCTCTGAAAGAATATAAAATATTCAAACGATCTTTGAATTGCTCTTTCTTCTCTGCTTTCACTTTCTTATTTTGTAAGGTTTTCACACGAACGATCTCGTTTTCTACAAAGTGATCGCCTATCTCTAACACCTTCTTCATAGTTTTGACGTAAATCTCGGCTGATGCCTTCTCGTTGCCTTTTAAATTCTCCACTTCTTTCTCTGCATCAGATAAAACAGTTTTCCTCTCTGCTTCCTCAGCACCCATAAACTTCACAGCCATCTTGTCAAAATTTTCCAGGCATCCTTGAAGCCCGATCCACAGACCAGAATTTTCTTTCACAAATGCCATTATATCATCTGATTTTATATCACCATAATATTTAATCGGGTCGTCTAGTTTTCCACCCAAAAATAATCTGTATTGTGGGAAATCTTCTTCCTTGATGCCAAATCTGTCACCAACTTCACTGTTTTCTTTGTCACCATACTCTGGAATTTGAATAGAAGTGAATATGAGCATATGTTGATACAGAAAGAAATAACAACATCAACCTTCAGTATTATGATTTAGATATCTTAAAATCATCACAAGTTGTGGAACGAACGTGACATTTGTTGGTTTGTGGGGTTGACTTCTGGGTTTAGATTAATGCTTACTAATATATTGTGAATTCTCTCCTCTATAACTATTTAATACATTTGAAGGATGTCTTCTGCATAAAATTATTGTATAGATAAAATATCAACAATATGGTAAGAAAATACACTCATTAATACCCAAACAAATTACATATACTTTATGTATGTTGTAAACATTTGATGATGAAGATTTTTACTTCACTGTTTTCCCATCGTCATTATAAAAATCAGCATTTTCAGAGTTGTGGTCACTTGTCGGTCAAATACAGTAAATTAACAGCATGTTTTTTTTCACTTTTTTTGTATTTACTAGCTTGCCTGTAAATTTATATTGGACTTTTATCTGCTCTCTAAAAATTAGTCACTATGCAAACATTTTTTTTGTGGGCCTCCTTTTTGTGAGCATAAATGTACAGTTATGACGAAAGTGTCTATAAAAAGCAACTTTTTGAAGAAAAGCTGGATACAAACATCTCATATGGAACAGGAAAACGATCAAGCATAGTCAACAGCGACAAATTTCATTTTATTTACTCCGTAATTATGTGATTTGTGAGACAGAACTCTAATTTGAAAGAGATTGGATTTTAACACACAGTGTGTGACAGCTCTGAGGTCACAGCTGCATACATAGAAATGTACTACCCTCAAAGCTATCCATGCTTCCTAGATATGCATCACAAAATGCACAGATGTCTCCAATAAAGCTAGAACAAAAACAATTATGGTCATAGTCAAGGCCATAATCATTGTCAAATGTAATGAATGCCATTGTTACAGGAGTTTATTGTACCACATTATATCGCGGAAAGCACTATTTGAAGAGACTACTAAGCACATTATAAACTTCACGAATATGAGTGCCTGCAACAAATTTTTAAATCTAATGGGTGATACAAATCTGAATGTACAAATACATTTTCTCATTTCCATCTTTCATTGATTTACTGTTTATTATTTTTTTTCAATATTATTACCAACATATATCAATTGGTTTTTTTTGTAATTGTAGTTTGTTGTTTTTTTAAAACCATTGTTGTGCTTTAGACAATAATTCTTGTAAAATTTGTATGTGTTATATATATATGTGTTTTAGAAGTTAGTGTAACCATTTTAATTCCTTCTGAAGATTCCATTTTATACATTAGCTGCTTAAAATAAGGTCAAAAAAGGTCACACATCCTGGTACTTTCTGGGGGTACAAATTCACCTTCAATTCGAATTTAATTATTATTTTCTCACAAAAATGCAAGCAGTTATCTTTGAAATTCAAAAACAGTTAAACATCGTAAAAAATGATATATATTATTGGAAATTCTTGCTGTGATGGAACAAAATACCCCCTGAAAGTACCAGGATGTGTGACCTTTAGAGGTCACGCATAAGGCCAAATACTTTGTATATCACAGTGACATGCATAAAGCTGTGAATGTTGGGAAAGTTTTATCGATAAAAATTTTTATAAATTCAAATTCACAAATCCAGAAATTATATGACAAAAACATTGAGGTTCTAATTAATATTTGATGAGGTAGCAAGCCCTTTTAAATAAGTGGGTGTGTCACTTAATGGTTTGTGCATGCATTATAGGCTTGGACAATGTGGAACTCATGAGAAAATTAAATTATTAAATATTAGAATTTCAATGAAGACTAATCACCAGTTGGGGTGATTTCGCGCTAACACCTCCATTTCGCGAATTTTTTTATTTTATTTAAACTACAAAAACAAATTAATCGCCCCGACTGCGCTAGTCTACATACCACTGTGCATATAAACAAATTGCAGTTCTTTAAAAGAATTAGTATCAATTCATTTACGCAATAATCCTAGTTTGAAATGCATACATGTACTGGTTATGGAGAAAACCGTGAAATCTGTACTAGAAGTCGCATCCCTAATAGAAGTTGCACCTATTCTTTTTGAACAATTTAAAACCAAAAATTCATCATTTCTCAAATGTGTAAATGCTCTAATAGAAGCCGCATCCCCTCTGTTGCATTGTATCATTTCAATAGAAGTCGCGGCTTCTAATACAGATTTTACAGAAGTACTGGCCTAATCAATAAAATAGTTTTGTTTGGGTTTGAATTAGACAGCAGATGTTGAATGAAAACAGATTGGTTTATAGCCACAGTAATGAGTATGGTACCGGTAATACATGAAGTGCACAATTTCAGTATCACATGGAATTTTTTGTCTAAGTATTTCAACCTGCTATCTCATTCATAGTTTAATAGACAAAATGTCTTTAATACAGTGATTATCATATGCACAGCAAGAATCAACCCAAATAAATGTTGACTTGTTGGATAAATCATGTGTACCAGAAACTCACAAATATATAAAAATTATATAAGTCTATACGTCTGAAACAATTTTTCATATTATTATATTAAAGCGGAGGAGTCGTCACCTGCGGATGCATCAGATGGCCATCGCATGTCATTGTTTACAAACAAGCGTTTACCCAAGAGCCTTTACGTTTTGGCGTGTGTTGTTATCGTTGCTTTCGACTCAATTGCAGCGCATGTGCAGATGACTCCCCTTCCGCTATAATATAATTAGCACCAGATTCAATTCTGCATACTTACTTGAAATGCCAACTTCAGCAACTAGCAGGTGAGGCTGTGATACCGCCATTGAAGCAACTTTTTTAAATTCATCTTGTTTTTCACCATATGGGTAACTTTCATCAAACTTAACTAAAGTCACTTTGTGTTGCTTCACAATCTAGAATACAACGGTAAATATAAATTGGTTTAGTGTTTGAACACTGGATTTTGTCCACATTATTTATCAAAAATGTTTTGGAAAATTTTATACATTTGATCCAAAAGTTTGAAAGATATTGTAGCAAAATACATTATTAAACTGTACAGAATGTTGCACCAAATTTTACGTGGAGTTAAGGAGCACTGGTAGTACAAGGATGCATGATAATCCTGTAATAGGAATGCAATTTTTAATTGCACAATTCATGGGTGCAATACTTTATGATTATACAGAATTGGGTGAGAATTAAGGGTTGGGAGTTGGGTAGAGGACTGTGCATTTCAAGTGTTTTGGTTAAGTGTCGCCATGGTTTTAGGTTTGACACATGAAATAATAATTATTTACCAGTGTAAGATCAAAAATGGCAATATAAACCTCACTCAGCACCCCTCATCTACATCAACACCATGCTATTCAGTGAGTTAAAGATTTGTTCATTGATTATAGACTTCCTAAATAAACAAGGATATCATTTATGATATTTGATTAACTTTTGGCAAAGATCTTGGGGTTTATGTTTACTGTCTGTAAAAATGACAAGATCATACTATTACTTTGCCTGGTTCTCCCCAGCCTGATTTTAGTGCCGGACGCTAATTAATATTCAAAGTCTTTGCCATTTACAAACATACATTTACACATTTCAGCAACAATTAAAATTAATTTTATGTGAATATAAATAAACTATGAACATCTTGTATTCTAAAACTAAGATTGAAATAAAATTGAAAGCAAAAATGTTCCCATGTTGAAGTGAGCTACACCAATATAATTAGCCTGAACACCTGACACTGATTCAGTCTTTTCAAAAGTGTGTGTTTTAATGCGTAAAATGTTATAATATGCTCAATAGAATTTCTAATCACTTGCATAATGCCAAATTACTAGTGGCTAAAATTAAAAAAAACAAAACATTCTTATTGCAATTTAATGTATTTTATCATATTTTAATATAACGTTATCATTGGACGATTTTTTGGAAAATGTATGTATAATCAAAATAAATACAAGGACAAGATAAATATACATGTATTTATACAGGTATTTCTCATTATCATCAGTTAAAATATTCATGTTCCTGGCTATCATCAGTTAAAATATTCATGTTTCTGACCATCATCAGTTGAAATATTCATGTTCCTGGCCATCGTCAGTTAAAATATTCATGTTCCTGGTTTTTGTCAGTTAAATATTCATGTTTCTGGCCATCTTGTGTGCCATTTAAAAATGTGCATGTCACAGCTTTTTTTAAATAAATTGACCAGCACCTTTTTTTTTTTTTTGACTGGGCCGAAAAGCAAAAAAAAAACTATACTATACAATTAGTTGTGTTATTTGGTTTCATCATTTATTTACCAAAAAAGAAAAGGCAAACTTTTTTTACAATGATAGTTTTTAAGATAAGGATATTAGATTGAAAGAATAGATTATAGAATAATCAAGAAGTTTTGGTAGATTTTACACTTCTATCAAACACAGCAATTCTTTTACAAAGTTTAAGAAAAGTGTTTTGTATGTAACTTTTTTTTTTAAATGCCCAGATGGCAATTACATTTAAGATGAGACACACCTTTGTGCCAGAGGGTACACAGATACCATATGATGGTTTTCATCATAACAGAATAAAAAACTGTTGGATTCAAATTACTGTACAGTCAATCACAACCAAGCTCGCATATGAGAATATATAACCTTCTACAATAAAATTTAGTGATATCAGATACGAATTTGGTTGTTTATAAAAATCCATCTAACTGTACCAGACAAACTTATTGAGTTGCCCAATCACAGATAGATATGTATTATAATAATAATGCAAATGTTTTTTTTTTTTTGTATTTACATTTTACACTTTTGTTGTATATATATTTATGTTTTTCCTATTTTATATTATATTCATTTCAATAAATAAACTTTTGTATATTATTATTATTTTGGAAATTTTCCATTATTGGCCAATTGCTAACAAGCGATCACTGTTTTGTGCACAGCGGCTGATCGAACGATGAAAGCTCGTTACATAAAAACAGATCAGTATTACTAGTCAACGAGGAGAGAGACTTACCTTATCAAATGTTTGCCCATCTAGTGGCACTGCCCCTTTAGTCGACAGAGCAAATGTGGCATTTAAAATTATGAAGAGAACAAACAGCGAAAGAAGCATGATCTTACCACTTGCACTACAAGCCATGTTGTCGTGTATTTCCTATGTCGTACTCCCTAACTAAGTGATAATAATTAGACATATGTGTATCTATATAGTTCAAGCTTATCCGACCGTGACACTTATATTCCGTGTTGTATTTAATTATATTGTCGATTATAACACATTTTGTACCGTTATTTTGTCTAAGCTATCGTTAAAAAGGGATATCTAATGAGAAACCCTAAATAACAGTAAGGTCCTTAATAACAGTGGTCTATGGGGCTTTTTAAAGTTCTGACCAATCACAGCTTGCCACACAAACCATGTAGGCTCACATCTGACAAGTACACAAAATTGGGTTGGTTAATATTCAACAAAAATGGCGGTCGTCTGTCAGCTGTTTTGATGAATTGGCCAGGAACCCAGAGTGACCGAGAAGAGGAAGCGAGGTGGTTTATAATATTTCACAAAATAGTGATTTAACATGTGACATTTACCAGGAACACTAAGTCACTGATTTATCTGAAACAGTGCGAAACGTCGTTTTCTTGTGCAATACGAATAATCTGACGTGCACGAACGTGAATTGGTGGTTTGTTTACAAATATTTATTTGGTATTTTGGCTTGCCGCTCAATATCCGAAAACTATATGGCTACATTCAGCATGTCTGTGTCGTTGTGGGTTAAACCGGAACCATTCAATTTCGGCGCATTGCAGATACCGCCTCACCCGAAGCTGTCCATGCACGTGAGTATTCTGCTTCCCGAAACCCAGTAAGGCCCGCCCTTTAGGGGTGGACCATTAACAATCATGCGGTGAGCTTGTAACATTTGAGGGAAACTGAAAGTTTGAGGGAAAGTTTTCACGCTGATTTTCTCTCAAAGAAATTTAGCCACAATAAACTTGATTATAGTCAGATATTACAAAAATCAAATAAATTATTTTTGAAATAATTATTTTTCTCCCAATTCTTCATCAGAAGTTCAAATGATCCATCCCTAATTTTACATATATTAATGAAGAACAATACTTATATCCAGCCTGACATGGTCAGCAACATTTATTGCGCCCTCGCCAACAGACTTCTCTGAATGAAAACTATGATGAAACTGCTGTAGTTTTCTGTTATCACTTTCTGTTTTCTGTTCAAAAACTATTAAAAATGTGCTTCTAACAGAGCAAGTATGGAGGTATGTAAGGGTGCATGAATTCATCAGTTGCGAGTGGTGAGTTGCTAGTTGTGAGTCACAAGTAGCAATATGTGTCAGTTGCGAGCACTAGAAAGTGGCAGTTGCGAGTGGCAATTTGTATGTAGTTGCGAGTGAGTGCGAGTGCTAGCTACATCGGCATTGTGTGAAATAAAATTAAGTTTGATGTCCTAGCCACTTGTTGTGTGTACTTTCTATGCACGAAACATATAATTCTGAGGAGAATTATTTATGTCGTTTAATTAATATTGTGCATGAAAATTGCATTTAGCATTTTACATTTTTTTTTCTTTGTAGTATCTGAAGAAGATAGCTGTGTATGCCAAAACAAAAGGTAAAGGGGGATTTCCTCGATTGACATATCCAACATGGAAACGTATTGCATGCAGTAAAATGGGATTGCCTGAAGAGGAGGCATGGTTGTAAGTTACCCAATGAGTCAAGTCAAATTAAATGACATTCTTGGGAAATATTAGAAAGTAGCATGTTGTTTTTGTAATTTTTGTCATATTTTTTATTCATATATTGATAAAAAAATTACATGACATGTGCATTACAACTATCTATTTTTTTGGGCTTCTATTTGTCATTTATGATTTCTTGCTGTGTGATATCTTGCTAACAGAGGGATATGAAATAGGACAAATAAAAAGGAAGGAAAAGTGAAAAAATGACAGCTAATAAAGCCCTATACGTACACCCATAGACCCATGGAGAGTCTATGGTACACCAGATTTTAATCTCATTGGCTACATGCATGTTCATTCAGTCAGTCTTGTATACTATTGCCCCAGTCAAATTGTATTGAAAAAACAATGATGTGATTCTGACAGTTATTAAGCTGAGGTTCAGTCTCGTGATACACTGTTTTGTCTGTGCATGCACACAGGTACTTTGAAGGTTTCGATTTACTAGACAGATGTCCACCAGAGCAAAGATTACAAATTGCTGAATTATTTACAGACTGTAAAACGCCAGAAGACACAGGTATGTATTCACCACCTTGCTAATGACCATAATTTGACGATTTGTAGGTCATACATTCACTATCATGAGAATATAATGACAATACTGGAAAGTATGCATAAAAGCAGTACAGTATGGTATGGTATACATATCAACCATTACCTTGCAAAGAGGGTCCGCAAGGGATATTTTCGTAAGCTGTAATCAATTGTTTTTATTTTCGTAATAATGTAAATAAAAAATGAAAATTCGTAGACATGGGCAAGGTGTAAAATGTAATCTGCTATTTTATTCGTCTGTAATTTGTACAAAGATGTTATTTTTTGTAAGCGTATAAAGCATTTTCCACATTACCGGTAAATGTCATGATTCAAATGCAATTCCCAATTTTGATTCTTAACACAAATTATAAAATATATTATAAAAATGTAAATATTAGGAATTTGCTTTATCTTTAAATTGTAAAAGCCTATTTTTTACTGTAAATGGAACTTTCATTTCATTTCCTGTAAAAACGTAAAATGCTGTTTTTATTTTGTGTAACCTATACTAGCTATCCCCCCTTGCCCCTCCCTACAAAGGTTGATATGATCATGTGATGCCAGAGGATTTATTTTGTTACCGGTATATACTCATCATAATGCCATAAGTTACAGCATGCTATAATTTTGCATATTTTCATCCTACCATATTAGGAAATGCGAATTCCAAATATGGAACGATTATGCGCTTTAAGTGTCCTCAAATAATAAAAACAAACACAGCAGCCCCCAGGAAGAAGTTTAATCGGACCCCACACAAAGAAGTTTGCTAAATTTGTTTTTGATTTTGGCATTTGTATATTTGGTTAATGGCAATACGTGTATAAAATAAATGTAATAGTAAAAGTTGGTATTACAAATCAAGAGAATGCTCATTTCTAAAAATTGAAGAATTGTGAATAAAATCACCCAACAGCTTAACTGTATTTTTTCACCACTTTTCATTAAATATATGAATTAGTAATGGTAACTATGAAGAGCATGATGGAATAAAATTAAATCGCTGTACACAAACAATCATACAGACACAAGTCTTATAAAATGATTTCAGGCATTTCAGTCGGTTATCCATTACTAATCTATACTACAAGTAGAAAATGATGTGCAGCACATGTTACTCAATAAGATCACTCTTCTGCTATTGTGTATTCTTTTGCATCATTCTCGTGAAAACATTTTTTTTTTTCATTTGTTTTTTCAGAACAAGTCAAAAACAGTTTGTCAGTGAATACCTGTGAGTTTTTACTATATTTATTTTTACAACAAGTCTACAAGATTTCATTGAGAACATCATTGGTATCAACTGGAGAAGAGTATCCTCTTACAGCTTGTTATCAAATAATAGCTAGGTCTAGAAACAGATCAAGATGTGATCTAGAAACAGTTCTAGACTTGCTATTTATTTTACAGACTTGGAACTACATGTACATAATAGTTTCCTTTGATCACCTGAATGGTATATGTAATGAATGTTTGTTTTTTGTTCAAGAATTTATTTACTGATGAACCAAAATTAATCACACGGCAGCATTCTATCAGTATCCTATGGAGCCGTTGTGTTGTGTAAACGTAGCTTATGACTGTGTGTCATTGGATTAGAGGCCACACTGTAGGAAAGGTTATTTTATTTGGACCTTAACTTTGATATTACTAGATGGCCAATGAGAGCAAGGTCACCTGATATTGAAGGTAGATCATCAGGAGTCGGAGCTAAGGTGAGTATTATATCTTGTCTGATGTGCGAATGAACAACTTCTTAGTTTTAAAAGCTAGTCTGTACTCAAAGAAATTATGTTGATATTGTCTGTTGCTTGGTTGTTGTTTAAAATATTACAACATTTTGAATGATGAATGAATTCATATAAAACTTATTGCAGTGCCTTGAACATTCTTCATCCTATATCATAGAAGCAGTTTGACACCAGTTAGTACAATTTATATATTTATTTATTTCATATTTTGATCATTCTTCTAGAGTATGGATGAAAATGCACATCTTATGTTTATACTTAACAATCTGAATGCAATATTACAGTTATTGGTTGAAGCAGGTAAGTTCATTCAATGATGAGAATACATGTATCTTATGTTTATACTTAACAATCTGAATGCAATATTACAGTTATTGGTTGAAGCAGGTAAGTTTATTCAATGATGAGAATACATGTATCTTATGTTTATACTTAACAATCTGAATGCAATATTACAGTTATTGGTTGAAGCTGGTAAGTTTATTCAATGATGAGAATACATGTATCTTATGTTTATACTTAACAATCTGAATGCAATATTACAGTTATTGGTTGAAGCTGGTAAGTTTATTCAATGATGAGAATACATGTATCTTATGTTTATACTTAACAATCTGAATGCAATATTACAGTTATTGGTTGAAGCTGGTAAGTTTATTCAATGATGAGAATACATGTATATATTTATTGCTAATATTCATGATTACAACTGTAAACATAGCAGGTGGATCTTGTTGTTGAGGTACTGTAAAATACTTTATTTTCGCTTGGAATTAATTTTTGCTCTATCAGTGAAAATAAAATCCAGCGAATATACTTTTTTTCCTATATTTTACATTCAACTCGTCAAAAATCATTGAAAATAAATTCCATATGAAACACGAAAAATGTCTTTTCAGCGAGAATTAATTCCAGCTAAAATAAAGTATTTTACAGTATTGAATAATCTTGCAAAAAAAAAATTAAAATCATTTTTCACTTCTTCCTGGAACAAAGAACAAAATCATTTTTGGGGAGGTCTTGCGTCACAAAACAGTGACTGACTAGTCGTATCTTTTCAAATCAAGATTTATAGAAACTTGATTTATCTTGCTTAGATTGTTTTGTTGGTGCCAACAGTAGTGAAAATAGACTAAGCATTACTGCTGTGGAGGCGCTGGGATTCATTATAGCAGCATCTACTGATAAAAAACGGTGAGTAAAATTTACTTACAGTTTTCAGATGGAACATATGTAATAAGATACATGTTGAGTTTCTCCAACCAGAAGGGAATGTTTCATGATATGTACAATGAAATACAGGATGGATGGAAAGTCCTGTGTCAAATTTGTCAGTTGTCAGGATATGATGTCGTTGTGTGACTAGAGTAGTTCTGTGACCTTTAGTATTGCAAAAATAAAAAGCACAGTCTACACACCTGTTTGTAGACTTTATTTCCCTTACAACCATGGTACATCCTATAACCTTTGCTATCCTGCTGCTGTTATGTTTTTCAAAAAAATCATATAGTAGCATTTACCGTATCATTATATTTGGTGAAAGTTGTTGAATGTTACTTTAATACCGGTTGACAACATCAGCGTTTGGGACACTCCAGTCAGCCATGCCATTCTACCCTATTCTGTTAGCGATTTTTCCCAGACACGAACACAGACGATGGTAGATAGCTGTATTATGTTAATTTTTCAATCCCCTATACTTGTACATTTAGAACTTGTTACATGCATTTACAGATCAATGAGACCTTTACTGGAGGTAGCCCTCATGCAACCTTTTCAACAAAAATCTGGATTTTCTAAAGTAAGTATCTGCATTGTCCTATATTCTCTAACATTGATGTGTGATTGGCTGCCAGACATAGATCAACTTTCATGGATATGCTAAAAATAGTACCAAGTTTGGACGTACCGGTACTTGGACAGTGTCAATGTGACATATAAGTAGATTTATGCAAAAAAGAGACTAAATATTAAAGATTTTTGTCAAACAAAATGGTTGCCAAATGACCATCTTGGACTGGATTGAGACACAACTAAACTTTCCTTGATTTGCTAGAGAACAAGTTTCCTGTAAACCAAGTTTGGATCTATTTGGACAGAGGTGGTCTGAGATATAAGCATAATTGTGCAAAAAAAAGATAAAAATATTTTATTTTTTCTCAAATTTGATCTCATCAAAAATCAATTTGCATCTTTTTGAATAATTCAATGCCACTGTACCAAGTCTTAATAAATTAAGTGATTACATTCATTATAAGCAAAAAACATGAGTATTTTTAATTGCAAAATGGCTGCCAGTTGGCCAATTTGGAAAAAATCCTGAAAAATCATGAATGCCTTGGTATGCCAACAGATGTTATCAGTATTCAAAAATGTTAACAGTATTGACCAGCATAACTTGAAGATAATGCTCTATACATTGAGTGAAATATATAGCCACAGTAAAATCTGTAAAATAATTATTGAATCATGTATCACCTATGAACCAGTTTGAGAAAAATCAATAAACATTTGAGAAAATGCAACAGATAGACTCTATCCAGTCAGTGGCTAAAAATATATATTAGATGGTTGCTCTATCCTATATTGATTTAAGTGTTTTTCCAATTCATATCTACAGATAATTTAGAATAACACAGAGTTGACTTGTCTACTTGAATATCATATTATTACATTTTAGTTTTTTATTCATTTATTTTTTCCAGATTTCTCAAACCTTTTCTCTGAGGACGTTTGAGTCTTGGTTGAGAGCTAATTTGGGTAGTAATCCATTTGGTTTATCAGTTTGTATATCAGCGGGGCGGCGACTGTCATGGCCTGCAACAGGTGAATATGTGACTGTCATCTATTTCCATTGGTTTTATTTGAAATGAATGAATGACAATTTGATTGAACAATCCAGTGCATATGAAGTTTATAGAGAAGCATATTTGTCATTGCAGGCAGTGATTATAAGGAAGACAGCGGTCAGAAAAGAGGAAGAATAGCAACCAATGCTCAGTTTGCTCCAAAAGAGTAAGTCATAACTCTATATTAAAACAACATTATGGTATTACAATGTATAGTTCTGTGAGGCAATGAAAATCATACCATTTTATAATAGAGTCAGGGTTTTTTCTAGAAAAAAACTGCAAGAGGGAGCACTGCAATTCATCAGCACCACTAAGTGGCCCCCTTACCCTGGAGAGCAGATCCTCTGGCAACCATAAAATTCTGATTGACCAGAGATCGCATGTGGCCACAGTCTTCAACTGTGACCTGTCTGATAGTAATTTTGGCCCGAAGGAAGCCATAGAATGCTCCATTTTAACTTAGAATTATCAAAAATTCCACACCCTGGTAGAGAGAACCCTATCTCCCCCACTTGGTGGTGTCGCTGTATTGCAGTGCTCTCTCTTGCATTTTTTTTCTAGAAAAATCCCTGTATCAACGGTGCCATAAAGTCTACATTGGGCAAAAACCAAAGCATTTTACAAGTTGCAAATTATCTTACTGTCTATTCAAATAATTCTCAGAATCGCTGTAAAATTGCGTCATCAAATTGCAAAAATTCTTAACTATATTTTGAGAAATGAATCAAATCTATTACAAGATTAGTTTCTGCAGAACAAGTGGTACAATGTTTTTAATTGGCCTTTAATTAGCATATAATATAGACCGTGCTGATTATAGCATTGTTTGTGAATTCGTGATTAAATGCATGCAACATGACTGGACCAATTTCATTCATACTTGATATGCAAGATCTTTCTTTAAAGTCAGATTCAATATACATTATTAATGAGCAACCTTCACTTCTTGTTTCCATGACAATGATTCACATTGCTTAAAATCTTCCACATCTTGGTGACTCCCTCATATAATTTTGAATGTAATAAAATAAATTTCAGACCAATTTGGTCATAATTTTAGTTTAAATTATGTATTAGTATAAAATTATATTAGGTGAATTAATAAAATATGTCTATTTTACTAATTTTGTAATTAATTGTATTCCCACAGGTGTAAAATTATTATATTGTCACAAGTAGGAAAACAGACACTAGCCAAGGTAAGAATAGTTTTTGATTTCAAACTATATTTTATTCTCGAATGTGCGTTTATGTCCAGACTTTGGCAATGTAAACATTTCAAAATAGAGTGACTCAGAATATAGTAGTAAGTGAATACCGTATATCACAATGTCTCTGTTTATCTCTGTGCCAAGTAGTCTAATGATATATCAGTCATGCCGTTGTATGGTTTTATTTTCACCGTAGTACGCATTTGACACCTGCTATTTTAGTCATGAAACTTTTAGTACGGTATGCTATTACACGGCCGTGCATCACGCTTTCGGATTTTCTGAATACAAAATTTTATGTTGTATATGTTGCATGGTCATAGTGCCCACTAACAGAACTGATTTTGCAGGGTAAGTCACAATGGAATTTCAAAAATCAAGTTGGGTCAGTTTGGTGAATGCTGGGAAGAGAGAAATTGAAGAAAAAATTAATATTGTATGTGGCTTTTGGAAGCTTCATGAACTAAAAATGTTTTGACTTTGACTTTCCTCTATTTTATACTTATAAAATATGAATTTCATATTTCCAAATTTCATAACTATAGTAAAATCTCTTTAAAATCAATACATGTTTTTTTTTATGTGTCTTTGTTGGTACATGTACCGGGGGGGGGGGGGATACGACTCTACTTTAACCAATTGATGAGTGTTCATTTTTCAGTAACCACTGTGACTGTGCAAGATTCAAGATTTTTGGTTCTCTGCACAAGAATTGTTTTTCCTTTTGTTAAAACCGCGCCTGACACTTGCAAAGACAATCTTGAAATTCAGCATCGGAAACTATAGCCTGTCTGAGCTTGACATCTGCATATGATTTTAAAAATTATATTGATTTGTATTAAACATGAAAACGACAAGTCAAGACAGGTTACATAATGAAAAAACTATATAACTATCTATGCCACAGAGGGCATACTGTGCATGCCACCCACATCAAACCCAATTTGGCAAGATGACTTCACCAATTTAATATCAGAATACTGATTCATTATATACATTAATTTTTTGTTTACTTTTGTTTTCTCTCCTTCAGTGTTCAAAAACCTTGGAAGGTGCTGCTGTTAAAATCCACCGATGTCATTATGCTTATATTTATCTTCTGTCACCTCTTAGGTAACTATATACACATGTACCTGGAATTGCAATTATACATACTGTATTTGCGCTATTAAAAACACACCAAAATCAAAAATTGCATTTTGACCACAGAAACGCCTCTTTACTTTACGTCAGTACAATCTAGAACATGTGACAAATACACAAAACAAAAGTTGAAGATGAAGAAATACTTTGTTATAAAGACACATTGACTGTATTTATTTATTTAACAAAGTGGGAAAATGTGTTAATAATTTTGGAACCAGTTGTGACAGCGATATCTTTATTTCCATTATGAACAGCAGACATATGACAGTACTGTAAAATCTGTATTAGAAGCCGCGGCTTCTATTAAAATAGTACAATACAACAGAGAGGATGCAGCTTGTATTAGAACATCTACACGTATGAGAAATGATGAATTTTTGGGTTTCAATTATTCAAAAAGAATGGGTGCGGCGTCTATTAGGGTTGCAGCTTCTAATACAGATTTTAACATTGTCTTTCTGTGTTTTAGAATGAGTTTGAAGCTTTGTTTTTATTTTATTTGCCATTTCTGTCTTGTTTTGTATCTTCTCTCAGAAGTGAAAAATAATAAATATTGCACTACTACAGTAATAGAGCAAATACTGTTCTCTATACATTTAGCTGCTGAGTCCCATTGTCCTAGTTATCTGAATGACTAGAATGACTACTATGAGTATGATGTGTTTTAATAGTTGATTTAGGATGACCAAAACAGCAAATTTCATTGCATACTTAGGCAAAAATGTAAAATGCACGACTAGCTAAATTTACTTATATTAACATCTTTACTTCTACAGTCTTGTTACTCCTAACTAAAACCAACTCTAATAATTCAACTACTCTTAAAATATGATTTAGATGTTTCTTCTAACAATTCAGGAATTTCCAAAAAATAATTATTGTTTTGTATTTCATTTGATAGGATCACAGTAGTGCTTTGTATTCTTGACTTTTTGAACACCATAATTTTACCCCCAAACATTTGGTGCAACATTCTGTAAATTTTCATTTTTAGCTCCGCTGTCGACTTTGTCGAGCGGAGCTTATCATATGAGTGATTGTCCTCCGTCGTCCGTGTCAATGTTTTACTTTTTCGACTTCTTCTTGAAAACTACAAGCCTGAATGCTTTGATACTTGGTGTATATGTACCTTGGGTAGACCTCTCTCAGATTTGTTCATTTCATGATCATATCTTCAGTTCTCTAATTTTGGTGAATATTTTTGTAATTTTTGGTAAAAAGTGATATTTTCGACTTCTTGTTAAAAAACCGCAAGTCCAATTGCTTTGATATTACATATATAGGTACTACATGTGTATCTCTCTCAGATTTGTTCATTTTGTAATGATATCTTCAAATTTCTAATTTTGGTGAATATTTTTGGTAAAAAGTGATATTTTCGACTTCTTGTTAAAAACCACAAGTCCAATTGCTTTGACATTACATATATAGGTACTACATGTGGACCACTATCAAATTTGTTCATTTCATGATGATATCTTTAATTTTCTAATTTTGGTGAATATTTTTGTCATTTTTGGTAAAAGGTGATATTTTCTTCTTGTTAAAAACCACAATCATTTATGGTTAAAAATTATATTTTTGAATTCTTGTTCAAAACAGCAAGTCCCATTGCATTGATACTATGCATATTGTTCATTTTCTAATGATATCTTCTGTTCTTTAATTGAAATGTGCATTGCTAACAGCGGAGCTATCTCAGCCGAGAGGTAGCCTGACAAGTTGGCGTAGGTGGCGCCCTGGACTGCTGCGATCCCCACCAACGCCTGACAGAATAGTGTAGTTTTTTCTTATCTCCGACAACTTTTTGTCGGCACCAATCAGATTTCAGAAACTATTGATTTTGACATCCGTCATAATTTAACCATTCACGAAGCGTTGCGATTGTTGAGACAACAACTTATCACTTCTGATCGTCTTCCTGCCCATTGTTTACCAACTCGTTGAAAAGTATGTGTGAGGTTGCCGACAGCACGCGTCAAATTGCCGTGGACACAAGTACCAGTTAAATGTTCAACTTAATCAAACAGCCACTTCACTTTGTTCGTCGTAATCATCAACTCTATCAAACAGGCTATTGTCGAACTTGAGAGCAAATTGAATATCCAGTTGAAGTCTGAACAGAAACGCGGAATTGCGTCACTGTATCGGGGTGAAGATGCGTTGATTATTCTACCGACTGCACAAACTTCCACTGTGCTTTTCTCTTTCCAAAGAAACGGCAAAAATGCTATTCAAAACAGAGACCGTGTCGGACGACAAACTAGAATTGCTGGAAAATATCGGTCTTCGGTTTTTTGGTTGACTTGACACATCGGTACCGCAAATTGCACACGATGTCGGGTCCAGAGTTAATTCAAAAGTCGTCTTCACAGGAGTAATTTGTTGGTTGGAAAATTCGCACAATGGTGTAGAGAACTCCATGTCTTCCTCCTAGAATATTCACTACTGAAGTAAATATTCATCGTAAGCTTGTTGACTTGTTATCTTTATCGTGCGTAATCTTGAGTGGTGTTTGTTTATATTTAGCACGTTGTAATCTATGACTGACAGAGTTACCATGACTACTTCATTGAATATTCATAACTACGCAACAGAATCTAGATCTGGGTGTGGATTTTCTGTTTTGAAGTTGCCGACGAAAACTACACTATTCTGTCAGGCGTTGGTGGGGATCGCAGCAGTCCAGGGCGCCACCTACGCCAACTTGTCAGGCTAAGCCGAGAGGCTGCTTGTTTTTTTTTAAATTCAACATTTCCCACAGGTCTTGAGAAAAGATTTTTGTAAAAAATAGCAAATTTTTGGTTGTGGGATTTAAATTTGTGAATTGTGATAAAAGTTGACATTGGCAAAAGCTGGCAACATATAGCATTAACTATTTGCATGCCAGATATTCAGAAATTCAGTGCAAATATTTTCAAATTTTGTAAAATTTTCAGCGAATTTCATCATCATTTTAGGCCATACTGACAGTGTCAGATATTGGTTTTAGTTTTTGATCAAAAGATTTGTCAAGTTATATCAACATTTCATGTGGGAAGAAGCAGACTATAAAAAATTATTTTGTAGATGGTGCCAAAAGTTGACAATGGTGCTCAAAATGTGATAATCTTTCTATGTTTTCAGATCAGTGAGTATTGAGAAGTGTCGTCATTCTACGATTGTACTCGGATCTGTGGAATCCACGGTACACGTCAATGCATGTGAACATCTGACGTTGATTACAACCTGTAGAAGACTTTCTGTAAAGTAAGTCACATATGAATTTATCGATTATGCTCTTCTAAAAGTTTCATTAAAATGTTTTTATTAAGAAGGGTGGATAAAAATATGGTGAATTTTCTAAGATTTACTGAAATGTTCATTCTTTCCCTTTAATGTCATCTAGCTATGTTTCTGTAAAAGTGTTCATCAATGGCCATATATGAATTCATTTAACTTGACTGTGTTGATGTTTTTTTGTTTTTGTTTTTCAGTGCATCTACATTATGTACATTCCATGCATTGACATCAACAAGACCACTAATATTAGGCGGTAACGATTCAATAATATTAGCTCCATATCACACACATTATTCATTATTAGAAGAACACATGGCTAAATCGGGTATTGCTGTGACACCCAACATGTGGGATAAACCAATGTGTCTAGGTATGTACGTATTCTCCCTTTAGTGTCCATCATGGCGCCCTCTGGTGTTCCATTTTATATATGCCTTTGTTTTTAGAGGGTGAGGTCAATTTGTTTTATTTTCGTTCAGTGATAAATGACTGATAGTTTTGGGATTACTTTATTTCATGCATCAGAATACATACTATCATAGTTGTTTTATATGTCGCCTGATCGCTCTAGTGTATTGATATGTAAAAAGTTGGGCAGTTGGTGTAGCTCAAAATGGCAGAATAAACATTATGTCAACTATGAAAGCTTTCTGGGTTTCTTTAATGTTTCGTGTATTCTAGAATCAACACATCACAATGATAAGTGTTTATCAGTTGATATTTGGATTTACTTTTCTTTGCAGGTCCAGAACATCGACAAGCGAGTCCAGTTTGGTCTTTAATGCTACCAAGAGACTTCTTTACATTTGTAATACCATTTAGTATTGAAGGACTTACATCGGTCAGTAGAAGTACTTTCCATTTTTTCAATATCATCATGTGCTTATGAGAAAATAGACAAATCTCTTCTTTGAATTTTTGTGGTCAGATTGTGTCTGAACTTTCATCCATTTTTGTTTACGCAGGAAATTCCTGGTGGTCTGCCATCAAAGTATGAGCGTGGTTTAACACAACGAGAGAAAAATATAAAGACATGGCAGAAGACTGTCAAAGAATCAGGTCTGTCGGAACAACAAAGAAAACAGTTCCAGTCAGTAGTAGAAGCCAAATTTCAGGTGAGTTGTACAACATATAACAGCATGGGGATGCCCGGGGTGAGGGGGAAAATGTGTTGTGATGTGAAGCCTCAATGTTTGGCTGGTGTGGATCGGCGTGGACTGGTTACATACTCTATGCACATAATAAATTTGATTATTATAAGTATCGTTTTTGGGATGCTCAGTGGCCAAGGGAAAGGCATACCATGACATGAATCTAGGCATACACTAGTGTCGGTTCGAGTCGAGTATGCAGTACATGTTTACTTTGATCTGAATCGACATAGTATTTACATGCAGTTTATTTGGTGATATTTTCTTGATATCTTCCTGTATCTCTATTGCAACATTGTTTGTTATAACATTTATATATAGCCTTCAAAACTTTGAAAGCATGAACAATTATTTGTATATAAAAAGTCCCACTATATCTGACAGGGGCATTCAAATTTGAAATGATACTTTGTATGTTTGTTTTCTATGATCTCATAATAATTTACTGCTTTCAAATTTAAAATGCTTGTCCCGGATTCTGCCGTAAATTCACCCATCCGAAAAATCGCCCTGGGCGGTTTCACAGGTAGTGGGCCCTTACTTGAGGTTCAAATTTTCAAAAAATTATCATCAAATATTTTTAGGGGGCTTATATTTTCATTGAAAAATGTACCTACACCGATTTTCAACGCCGGCAGTTGGACCACCCAAAACGAAAGAAACTATTACAGTAGCTAATCTAAAATTTTATACATTTTTTTCATGCTGGATTAAAAAGTAGTTTTCTCCAAAAAAATCTCATTAATGAACCTTGTGCGCCAAATACAATTATTTTGTTTCATTTTATTAGTAAAAGATGTTTCAAATAAAAACCAACTGCAACTGCATTGCTTAATAATAGTAGCAAGTCACCGCGATATTGCAATCCGGTCATGCTGCGTTTTACAAATGTTGATTATTACCTAGTAATGATTATATTAACGTGCAACAAATAATTTTGTTGAATTTTATTAAATGCAAATAAATTTCAACTTGTTCCATCATAAGCGAATGATTCCGATCGCATTTTCAGCGCTCGATGCTGTAGAAATGAATATCCGCCATATTTGACCTGAGACTGTGTTCTTTGACCCGACAGGTCAAATCGATAATTTACCAATGAAAACGATGGATGATGGCAACGTGCTCAAAATACCATAGCTCATTTAAATATGTTAATGTTATTGAACACAACACGGAAGAGATTTGCTGATGTTGTTGTACGATCTTTTGGCTTGGATTTGATGGAAAAAAGGCATGATTTGTTTTTAAATAAAAAAATTAGTTGTTTTCCAAAGATAAACTGAAATATAATTCATTGTCGAAACGAAGCTAACCCATTCGCACTAGTCGCAATAAACATCAATACGTCAATGACTACGGTGAAACTTTTAGGCATCAGAAAAGATTAAAATAACACCTTAAAAAAAACTGACGAAAAATCGCGGTTTCTTGGTCCCAATTTATTTTTTTTAAAACCCGAACTGCCGTTTAACGGCCCTGGGCGAATTTACGCCAGAATCTGGTAGTATTCAATAATAATAACTGCATATTAATTTTTAGTTCCCGTTTGAACATAGTCCGAAAACAGGGACTTGTAATTTCATGCCTGGGACAATTTCATTTCATACATTTGTTTTGATCCAATTCAAGATGGCTGAATGACAGCCATTTTATTGCTAAAAATTCATCAAAATCAAGCATTTCTGCCATTCCTGAACTGGATATCAGTCATGCATGGATATATTGTATTCAAACTTGGTATGTCCATCTTATTTTTTTTCATATCGCATTAAAACTGGCTGACTGATGGCCATTTTGTTTTTAGCAAATGCAGTTTTTGGAGCTAACATGTCGGGACTATGGTAATCGTGTTCAAACTTTACACATAAGTCATGTAACACATGTATCTGTTTCAGAATCTCATTCAAGATGGATGTTTACAGTCATTTTTGGACAGGCACTTGTCACTGACAATGACAATGACTTGTATTTGTTTCTTCTCTTACTAGGCTTGGTTAGATGACAGTGGACATAGACGACAACTTGATGGACTAGCCACACCAAGTAAATAAACGTTTACGCACTGCAGGTCCACAATGTGCGGAACAACATTGTTCAAGGCAAACACAGGACAGAAACTGTCCTGTATTGTCAGGGTACGAGTCCTGTATGTATAGTACATAACATCAGCTCAATATTTGTTATTATATCTGATACAATCCTGTAACTATTACTTTGAGTACGTACATGTATTGATTCTACTTCACGTTGGTTCACTCTATCATAGTCTAGGGAGATGCTTGCATGACGTTTTGGTGTTACGACAGGGTTAATCACTAGGTGACTACATTTGAAATATCTTGTATATTCTATGCACTAAATCAAAAAATAGATAAAAAGGGTATTTAACTGTGTTGACATGCACTAAAAATTTCACTATCACAAAACAAACAGAAGACTGTGAAACCAAATAGTCTAGTTCTTTATTCTAGCATATTCAGATGCTGCATATTTTGGAATTCATGAATGTAATAAAATCAGTAATTTAATCCCCCCCCTCCAATAAACCTTTCCTCCATAGTAATCGTCCATCAGCAAGTATGTTCCATGATGCTAATACTGAGAACAATTTGAATTGGAACTCGTTCAGAGAATCCATACCATTGTAAAATATGCATGGTGTAGTATTATTATTATTAATGAAATATTCTATTATAGCTCTTCATGGTTGTATCAAGCTTAGAGTTCTTAGCCTGCACTTGAGCTTTACTGAGAATAGAATTTGTCAAATCTAATCCCGTTTTTTTTTAATACATCCCCTTGCCACAAATCATTTGATTTGCAGAACAGACTTTCCAATTTTGTGTTTTACTACTATAATAATATTTTATAATGTCTACATTGAACCATAATGAATGTCCTGACATACTGCCAGTGTTTATATTTGTTTGTTATATCACCAATATTAGCTCATAGATTGTGCATTCTAATTCAAGGGGGATTCTTGGAACTGTAATATGGTTAGTGATAATTTCAAATATTATGTAAATATAGAACAAAATAATTTTGAATATGGCAATGTAAATTTATTATCATATGTATGTTTTAGGTATTTATATTTCTACCGCCCACCAAGCCAATAGAGAAAGATTGTTTGTGTATTTTTTTTACTGCATTGTTTGATACTGTTTTCGTAATGGTGAATTTTTTTTTCTATTTCTAATGTTGACATGTGATGTTGGCTAAATAAAAATGTAAAGTTTGTCAATGATTTGGTTATTATTGCGAAGAAGTTGAAATAAATAATTTAATTATTCACTGCTGTAGTGTTTTTATTTACAGGTACATGTAAGTGGTCACCAATAGTGGGTGGTTGTTGCTACAGAGCCATGATAAGTTGGTGATGCTTTTGGCCACACTCAAAGGGTAGATCAAAACAACTGAGCAAGATTAATTTCTTCACAATTGTGATACAGTACACTGAACTGAGAATGTTCCTACGGAGCCATTATCTGTCAGTGATTCTTTTGGCCACAGACTTGATGGTAGACTAAAACCACAGACCAAGCTTATTTTCCCAACAATTGTGATACAGTACATTTAACTGAGAATGTAGCTACAGAGCCATTATCAGTCGGTGATGCTTTTGGCCACAGAAAGAAACATTTTTGGCTATTCTGTTTACAGTATACTTTATTTCAGCTGGAATTAATTTTTGAAGAGTTAAATGAAAAATATAGAAACAATGGTATATATTCACTGTATCATTCATTCAGCAAATATTAATTCCAAACGAAAAAAGTACTTTACAATAACTTCTCCAACATGATGCAACTTATCCCTTCTTTCTAGGCAACTGTTACCTACTTCGAGGTGGCTTTTTTGAATATTCCGGTCACCTGAATTTACAACTTTCTTGACTTTCTAGGTAGCTTCTTTTCTGATACGACAATATGAGCAACATTTCTCATGCATCTTATTTGACTGTCCTGAATTTTCATAAAACATTCTCCATGCTACTTTTCTAAATTTTCATATGTATACGATTTGATTTACTTATGTACCTTTTTTCCAAGCAACTTTCTAGACAAGTTTACCGACTTTCTAAACTACCCTTCTGACTGTTCAAGAAAATTTTTGACTTTACAAGCAATGTTAGTGACTTACCAATGCAACCTGTCAGATTTTCTGGGCAGCTATTCTGCTGAAGTTCCAAGCCAATATTTTTAATTATGGTAGACAATATTTTGCAAGCAACTTTTCTGACTATCCATGCAATTCCTACAACTGACCAGATAATTTGTTGATTTTCCTTGTAATTCTCTTAATTTCTTGTGCAACTTTTGGGACTAACTGTTTTTTCAAGTGACTTAACCCACTTTCTGAAATACAGAAAAGTAGCATACAGTCACTACAGATGCTTTGAAAATTGGGGAAGGTTGCCTTGAAATGTCAGGAACTCATCTTTGCCAGCTAAGATTCCGCTTGAAAGTCAGAAGAGTTGTCTGAAAAGTCAGAAAGGTCAACTAGAAATCTGAAGCATGGAAGCAACACGTTTCAAAAGTCAGAGTAAATGGTTTCTTCTTGTGCGAAGTCTCAGTGTTTGGGACGAGCATTCTCAGTTCAGTGGGCTGTCACAGCTCTTAGGGAATGATCCTTCCATGCAAGACAAAAAATTAGACACTTTATGAAATACTTCAATTCAATATGAAGAATTGTTAAATTCTTTTTATTCATTTTAAACTTAAATGAAGAATGTCAGCCCAATTGTGTATCAAAATAACTGTACAATTTACATACTCAATGAAAATCACTACATAGCTAGAATTGTTTCTGCCAAAAACAAATTGATTCGATTTCTATTTTATTTGAAATGATGGAAAAACAAAATTGAAATCAAGCTGGTCTGTATCGGTATTTACTGGCCTCTCATTTCAAAAGAGATACAAACATTCTGAATGGCTAATCCAGTGTAATAGCTTTACCTCAATAGAATGACCCAATCACAGTGTAGCTTCACAGGGGTACATATTGTAATTATAGAATATTCCATTTAAAACATTTCAAATGCATCAAGTTCATTGATTCAAAGTTCAAGCTTTGTTTATCAAAATTCACACTTGAAGCAAAATTGAAAAACATAGCATTGTAGTGAAGACAAATAGAAACTATAGGCAGTAAGCAAAGCAACATGCCAGATTTATACGAGTATAATTTGGCGTAACCTTTAGATTTGATTTTACAACCTAGTTATCGATACTCAAAATCTTTGCTGATAATACAACTTCAACCGTTTCCAAACAGTTTATACTGCTTTTATTACTGCACATTAAAAAGCAATACTACAGTGTACAATCAACAATTTCTAAATGGTTTTTGCCTCCCCTCCTTACTAGGAATTTTTACGATTTGCTAATTTAAAGTCGTTTGTGAAACTTTTAAAATTAATTACAGTAATAAAGAAGATATGTCAGTTCATAGAATTTGTGGTAGGGAGAATATAGCAATACATCTGATGGGGGGGGGGGGGCACCACAATGAAAATGACCATGTATAAAGGCTAAACTATCGGTTCAATATATATTATATACAGTTGAAAATATTGTTTATAAAAATCTTCATATAAAGCACGGAAAACAAAAAACATGAACCTAAAATAAACATTGAGAAAGGTACATGGAAAGATTAACCAAAGTTAACCTTTTCACCACCAGTTCCTTCTTTCCATCACAAATTCACAAAATAGTCCTGTTTAAATTCTGCACTTTCCTTCAATAGATTGGGACAAAAATAGCCAATTTTTTTTTAGTAAAAACTGAAAATTGACTCAAATTTTGTCTTTTGACTCCAAAATTACAGTCTACGTTCAGAAATATCATAGAATGCAAGAAAAAAGTGCAGACAAATTTGGACGAGAAAGTCTGGTGGTGAAAAGGTTTGAACAATTACAGAGTTGACAAAGATGCTTTATTTATTATATAAATGAATGTCATATTTGTACTACTGGTTGCATGTGCTTACGTAAATTACAGACTAAGGTGATTCTATGTTCAAAATAATAATAGTGTACACAGCTTAGTTTTCACCTCTGGTAATTTTTGAAATTTGATGACTTTGTGGCATCCATGAAGTAAATGTTTTGCAAAAGTTGCTGTCATTATGTATTAAAGAATCCAATGTTTCTCAAGAACAACTTAAAAAAAATGTCAGTTGATTAGTATACACTTCTATTGGAGATGTTCTTCTAATGTAGCAACTAAGCTACACTCCATACTTTCATTTTAACTACAGAAGATTCAACTTTCAATATATCACTTGATTATACAAAACAGAAATAGAGGGAAGTTACAACTAGTGACCCTTTAAGCATCTACTTTAAATAGCATTATATATCCATTAAAATATAGGCAATATTATGAAACAAGCATATGACATTCACTGCATAGATTACTTGGAAATGCTATTCACATTTCCTGATTTGATCAACTAAATGAACAGAAAGTTTTATTTCAGAATGGTATCATTTGAAGTAATTATATTGACCGTTTTGACCAATCGATGCATACTCAGGTCAGAGGTCGATACATACTTAGCGGTATCCTCGTAATAACCTTATTATACATCTTCCCAATCTAATTATTTATTGTAGGAGACCTGCGAAATGGTAAAAATCAGAGTTACAATCTCGCTATGAATTTAGTTTTCAAAAATGTACGCCTTCTTAGAAAAACCACCGTTTCGTTTAATATTTACAATTTGCATTTTCTGATCAGATAGAATGCAGATACTCGCAATATCCCCAAATTATGACACACTGTAACTAAAATGATGATAGGGTGACCGATATAATTAAGACAACCTATATTTAAATATACTAACAGTATATCAATTAGCATATTTGTCATAAGATTTGAAAACAATCTGTTCTCCTCATGAATAAACCACATCCAACATGCATAGCAAAGTAATATGATAACAAGTACTTCTATTGTGTTCATTGATATCATGGTAATTACACTGAATATTCCATATGTAAAATTATAGAATAGAGGCAGCTACTAGAATGTACAAGGATTCTGCTATTGTTTGGGTAGTGATGAGTAGATTACTCAAATGGAAGAGCAAGATTCTGCAAACCCAGAGATTATTGGGTGGGATATAATGACAAATAGTTGGCATCTGATGGTGACGTTGCTATTGTACACAGAAACTCATATTGTAACTTGATCAGGTTGTGAAGTGCTTTTCTCTTCTAGATCTGTGAAAAAAACAGAAAAGAAAAAAAAATCCAGTGGTTATGAGTAAACTAATCCTATACATAACACATGTACCGGTACTGTGTCAATGGCAGAAATGTGCCTATGATCATA